TTTTTTGCATAGTTTATAATTTTTTTAGACCCAGCACAAGCATTATTAGTGTTATTAGAATTCTGTTTTTTTTTTTTTTGATCTTTTTTTTTTTTTTTTTTTTTTTTTTTTGGTTGTTTTCTTATTTGTTTTGTTTAAAAATTCCTCCCTTACTTTAAGCTGTTGGCTGTCTCTAGAAAGAAAGAAAAATTAGAAGGGAATAGATATAGTTCTGATATGGTAGTCTGATTACCATGCTAGAGCAGTACTTTAAATGCGGTTAGTGCCGTATGTAGATATCTGTTGGCAAATTTCAGTGCGATAACCAAACTTGGGCACTTTCTAAGAAGTAGCCAGGTTTTTGCCAAATATATATATTGATTGTAAAACTTGAGCCAATGTTTAAAGTATTCAATAAATTTGTGTGAGGTTATCAAAGGAAAAAAAATAAATAAATAAATACTCTAATGCGCTGCAATTAAAGAATAAATATTATTTCACATGTTTTTGATTTTGCGGCTGTGCTAAAATGGTATCCAATTACTGAATTAAAGGCAAGATTTCATACGTTCAATTACAACTGGGGAAGAAATTAGGGATCTCGGAACTTTTGATAAATTGTTTGTGCATATAATATGTATTATCATATAGTTATACCAACTCGCATTAATCAGCCCAAGTAGTTTGAGCTAATTAAAAAATTATACATAATAAAATCAAAGTTTAATAAAATGAAAGCACTATTTGTTATTTCTAAAAAGTACATTTTGCTTTATTTTTTTATAACCTTTAGTTTTTACTATTATTGGTTTTAATTCAAAGAAATGCTTGTATTCTTTACTTTTATAATGTTTAGTAAATTATAACCTTTACAACCAGAATGGTAATAACTTGTCAAATTTTTGTTTATCATTGCGCAATAGCATGAGCTGAACAATACAAAAAGATAAAAAAATTATGCATTTACAGTTTAGAATAGTGTAAAACCAGAAATTGATAGTAAAAGCATATTAAAATACAAGAAAAATTCATGAAGAGTATTTAAAGGTAAATCTTTATGTAATTTTAAATATAATTTGTCTTGATCGGTTTTCTGATTCTAATTCTAGTAGCTAATAAATGTTTTTTATATTCAAAGTGAACAAAACATCTTCTAGTTCACTTCTAAACACATTTGTAAAAAAAAGAAGAAGATTTTAAGATAAAACTAAATCTCTGAAAAATTTATCTCTGTTGCCTTGAAATTCCTATCAATAAAGAAAATTTTGTCGTAATTATCAAGATCAAAGATGCTTCAAACATTAAAATCTTAATACACATTCATTAATCCTAAAACAAAGGACCTTATATTAAATGAGGATACTATAGAATAGCAAATAAATATCTATGTTCTTGATTCGTGAACCGGTTAGAGTTGAATAAAATGATTAGGCAAATAAAATGATCTGAAGGGTGTTATGAAATGATAAATATGTATGTATATATGTTCTTGATTTATAAAATGGTTTGATAATATGATCTTTATATCCAAAGTCAAATGAATGATTTGAAGGGTTAGCAGATCAAAAATAATATTCTGGTATTTAGTCAAAATTGAAAAAAAATCAGTTTATTAGAATTTAGTTTAGTTATACTACTTTATGTACTTAATTTAAATAATGCTTTAAATAGGATAATAAAACTTTGTAAAGAATTAATATTTAAATAAAACAGAATTTATTTTTTATTTATTAATGATTTTCAAATTTAAATTTGGATTGTTAAATCAAAATCTGATAAAGTACAATACAGTAAATGCCAAATTAAATATAGTAGTATCACTGTACGTACGTACATCTATACATTCATACCAGATACTACACTCTAACAAAAACATTCGACACCTAAGAATGCTTTTTGTTCTTTATATGCCTTTGTCACAGATTATGTTTGTTCATTATCTTTTTTCCTACTAAATTTAACCCTTGACCAGAAGTCCTCTAGGCAGAATAATTACTGTACAGCGTGGACTAAAAGACCCTCTTTTATAATACCCCTCATTATTTTCAAAGGCCTAGAATGTATTGAACCCAGGGTACTAAAGATAGATAAATTAAAAATAATAATGATTGGAATGTAAAGTACTCTGGGTACTAAGGAACGGTTATTGCACTTAGGAATGTAAAATACCCGAGTACTAAAGATGGATTAATTGCACTTGAAATATAATATTAAAATATTACTGCGGTACTCTAATATCTCCTACATTGATCATAGTATCCTCCTGACTATAATACCCATATATACTGCTTAAATTGTAAAGTACTCTGGATATTTTAATCCACACTATACGGTACATCTTTTTCAAAACCTAAAGTCTCTTGAAACGGGAATTTTACTACTGAACCTTTGGTTCCCTTTAAAAATTTGCCATTGTTGATTAGTAAATGACATAAATTATGAACAATAAAATCAATTGTAAACCATCATTTTAAAACTTAGCTGCTACTTTGACTATTATAATATTGGCTTGGGCTGGTTTTATGATTAGAACCATAGAACTGAATAAAAAATTTACTCTTATTCGGCCTTATCAGAACAGATCCATCCCTATTTAATTTAGAATGATAAGAAAATATAAATTAAGTCCTAAAAAGCTAACACTTAAAATGTATCATGCAGCAATGCAAGTATTATAATAATATTTGCATAAAATTTTTTTTTTTGTGATATACTAATTAGAAAAAGCAGCAGTTGTGGAAGGAATTGGTATAGTATTGAACTCTGGATTTTGATCTGAATCTTCAGATATGGTACTAAATCACAAAAGCCTACCTTGTTTGTGATGCGCAACATATTAATAATAAAAAGATTTGTCAATATAATGCATATGTACATATGTATGAAGTTGATAAAAAAGTGCTAATAATTCAACTTTTTGATTTAAGTTCAAAGTAAAATGAAACGCCAATACCATATTCTGAAGATACAGGCATTATCATAAGCCATCCTTTTTTTTTCTCTTTTTAATCCAAGTTCAAAACACCAATACCATATTCTAAAAATACAGGCATTATCATAAACCATTAACTTTTTTTTTTTTTTTTTTTTTAATAAAAGGGCTAAAAGAAAGGGTATTGTTAGTATTATGCCTCTTGAGTTTGTGCCCAAAAAGACACATTGTCATATTAGTAACAAACAAAAAAAAGAAATTTGTGAGTTTTCAAAAAAAAATCCAACCTATAAACAACAAGAAATTGCAAATGAGTTCATAAGACGTTATCCAGATTTGAGAATTAATCGCACAACCATATCAAAGATATAAAAAAAACAGATGGATATCAACTTGATGATGATGAACAAGCCGATAATACTTTCCATCACTGTTCTGTTAGGTTTCCCAGGTTGGAACTTGCCATGAACATATGGATAGAGCGGATTACAGCAGAAGAAATGATTATATCAGAATTATTAATAAAAGAAAAAGGCTACCAATTTGCACAAGCATTTGATATATCTAAAGAATCACTTGCATTTTCAAATGGGTGAATCACTAGATTTAAGAAATATAATGGTTTAAAAAAAATTGTAATGCATAGCAAGGCTGCAAGTGCACTCCTAGCAAGCTTACCTGCTGAACGAATTAAATTACAAAAACTTCTATTTCACTATAGCCCTGAAAATATATATAATGCTAATAAAATGAGTCTTTTTTACCGATTACTTCTGAATCAAACTCTTTCTAATAAAAAAAAGATTACTGAAAAAAAGAAGGTACTTTATAAAAAAAGAAAAAAAAAATTAACTTTTTTTTTTTTTAGGATAAAACAAGAATAACGGTGCTACTTTGCTCCAACTCAACTAGTATTAACAAGTTACAGCCACTAGTCATTGGCACCTCTAAAAAGCCATGATCTTTAGCGGAATAAACATATCACAGCTACCAGTAACTTACCAAAATAACAAGAAAGTGTGAATGAAAAATGATATTTAGGAAGAATGGCTAAACCTGTTCAAGCCAACCAAGATGAATTTCAGAAAATTTTTACCTTACAAATGTCAAACTTCATTTTCTTTTTCCAAACATGACAGCTCATCTCCAGCCAATGGATGCTGGTATAATTAAATGTTTCAAATCAAAATATAAGAGCCTATACTGTTATTATTTGATTGATCAGTTTGAAAAAAATAAAGATTAGAGATAAGAATAAATAAATAAATAAAAAAAAAAAAAAAAACAAGCATAATTCTCTGGATAAAAAGAAATTTATTGATGCTATGCATTCATTCTCTGAATACATACTCAAATTTGAATCCAAATTTGCATATGTGTATGTCAAAATAAAATTTGTGAGTTAGGAAGAAATTTTATATTAGATATTAACAGTATTATAGTTCAACAATCCAAATGTGTGCACTTATAGAGACTTTTACTGTACCTTTAATTATTTGGGTTAGAACAATAAAAAATCTACAAAAATAAATTTTGTAAAGAATTGTTTTTGTATTAAAAAACAAAACTTAATGCTATTTTTTAACAGTTTATACAATATAGAAAACTTTCTTTAAAACAAGCCATTAATTTTATCTCTAATGCCTGGGGAGAAATTGGTGAAAATACTATAAAAAATTGCTGGGGAGCTACCAAAATTATGCCAGAAACAAGCGAACCAGATGAAAATGAATTAGATAATGAATTTCAGGATGAGACCACTAACGTTGATGATGCTACTAAGCTACTTGAAGATCTTTTAGCTGAAACTAACCCAACAGTCCAAGAATTATTAGATAATATCGAAGAATATATCGAAATAATTGACCAGCCAGCTGTGACAGAGGACGTACTAATAGATAAAGATATTATCAAAATGGTAATAGATGAATTTCATGATAATGAAACTGATGATAACGATAGTGGTGATAAAGAACTACTACCATTCCCAATAACTATAATAGATGCTGTTGAGGCGTTAGAGAAAGTTATATGATATCAAAAAGGTCTCAACAATGGAAAAGGATTCGATGAGAATGTGTTAATTATGTTACGAAAAAAGCTCAGACTGGCAATATGAAAAAATTAAATTTAAAAAACAAACCTTAATCTTTTCATTTTTATAACAATCCTAATACTGTAGTATCATGTTCATATCTAAATTTAATTTCTTTTTTTTTTTATTTTATTTTGAAGTTTTTTTTGTTTTATTTGGTTGGAATACCAAAAGTGGTTCTGATTATTGAATCATGAGGGAGGGTAATGCTTCATTGGAAATCGGTTTGATCTTAAATAAAAAAAGACTAGCCTAAAATGTTAAATATAGTACTGTGTAGTGATAAAAGTATGCTTAAATAAACCTTGCTATGACCAAATAAGACATAAGGCAAAACCTAAATGTTAACAATTTGCATTTACATTTTTGTTAATTACTAAACCCACATAACTTTAAAAAGCATTTTAACATTGCAATTAGTTATAGTACCTCAAAAGTTCTACTATGTGTGAACATACGTACTGTATGTACACGGTAAGGCTGGTTAATCTATAAAAGCTAAAAAGTATTACATGAGCATATACGTACAAATACTAGATCTGGCTAATCTACAAGAATTAAAAATGCATTAGAACCATTACACTAGAGAAAGTAAAAATCGAATAAAATTTATCTGATTTGTTATATTTATTTTGTGATCTTATAGAGGAAAATTTTATATAAGCGTTATATAATTGGTTAACAAAAAAGTGTGATAGTGACTATAAGGCGATTGTGCCTATATAGAGGTATAAATAATATAAAAAAGATTGGTAAAAATGAAACTGTGATTATATAGAGGTTGTGACTATAGAGGAGGTGAACTATATATCTTAAATAAAGCTGCAATAGAAACTATAAAAAAGCTTGACAGCTTTACCGTGACTATAACATTAATTTATTCATTTATTATATGCAAAATAATATATAAAATTATTTAAAAAAGAGAAACAAGGATCGTGATCTAAGTTACATTAACATTCTCTGATTGGCTGATATTGATTAACATAATATCTAGATAAAAAATCGGATTTATAAATCTAAAATAAAAATCTGGATTTATTATCCGCTTTTCAAAAATAATATCCATTATCCTTTTTATATCCAGATATATCCGGATTTTGTAAACCGGATCCAAGCACTACATAGATACTACCAGTGGTAGTATCTATAAATATCAGTCTCATCCCTAATAAGCACATTTAAATATAGTATATTTCCTGCTACCTGCACTCCAACAATTCCAAACTCACCCTTATCCAGTTTGATTGTTTTGCAGATCTAATACAAACCATTGTTTGTCTCGCGCTATACTTTTACTTCATTATCTATTTTTTTCTGTTTACTACAGAATAAACAAGAACATTCAGAGTATATAAGCTCATGAAATTTTTCTCAGAATTTAATAATAAACATGATATCTGGTTTTCTCCCTCTGCACCCTTCTCCTTTCCTATCTGCGCTAGCACTACTTTGTCGTTCTGCAGTACTAACAAATGCAAAACTCCCATAGAGAAGTTCTTTCAACAAAGCACGAATCGCAGATACTATTACATTTGTCACATAAGTTTCTTTATTCTGCGATTCAGCATATTCAGGACCAAATGCTGGATTGTTCCAGGAATCTTTCAAAGTGTTTAGAATTGCTTTCGCAACTTTAACAATATTTTCTTTCAATTCTTTTCAAGATATGTCATGATTTAATTTTTCTGGTGGAGCTTCAGCTTGATACTCGATGAAGCTTGACACAAATCTTCTACACCATTCTTGAACAGCTGGCAACAGAGGAGGTTGCACTTTAAATTTAGGTTCCTAGCAGTAGATACAGTATATTAAAAAATTAACCCACATTTGATATAATATAATGTTGGAATATGCTTACCATAAAATATTATATAAGTCTGGGGGTAACTGTCGTATTATCTCTGAGGTGTTGCTAATAATCTGACTAGCCAATAGCTCCTTCCAGGTTAATTTCGTCAAAGAAACTTTCTTCAATGCTGATGAAGTGGCAATTTTTTAACCTTCTTAAGTTTCCCCTTCAACTCATTTATGTTTTTTTAATTTGTTCTGAAGTAAGAGGTTTTTCTTTATTTGTTTTCATTGCCCTAATGGCAAGTAAACTGCAAACAGATTTATAAGAAATTTCGAATTGATGCAGGCATAATAAGTTAACGGAGTTGCAACTCTGATATAAAAAAATTATCACAAAACGCATGTGCAGTCAGAATATAACCAAAGCTCTATCCCTATGGGGTTAGCTACACCGCCACAAAGATATAACCTTGAGTAATACTAAAATAACCACACAGGATTAAGCATATGTCTACAGTTTAAACATCTCTCACATATCGAGAAAATTATCCTGTAGGCGGACTATGGAATGGCTAAACTGTTATGCTTACTCCTTCAGAGCCATATCACTGTCTGCATGTTCATCATTCTAAATCAATTTTGTATTTTTCTTATAGTTTATTAGCCTACCTCTGAAAGAACCTCGTGAAGTGACATATATCGTGTAGAAAACTGGTCAATTTGATCTTCTACAAGTTCTACCGCAAATTCTATAATGCTTTTTAATTCATCTTTGGAAATCCAAGGGTTCTCTTTTATCACTTGGTAAATAACAGATCATATGGTAATCGTAGTTAAGATTGAGTTAGTTGTGTTAAAATTATAATGATTTATCATAAAGAATTCTGTTATAGAACTTATTCATTAAAGCGGTATATACAATAGTTAAGGTTGAGTTAGCATCAAAGTTATCATGATTCCTACCAAGTTACTGTAAAAATCACTTTCTATCTCGGTAATTATAGTATGTGGTTAAGGTTGAGTTGGCTCATTGGATTATCATAATTTCTATTGTCACAGAGTATCTTGGACTACCATGCACTTCTTGGCCTTAATACACAGACTTTACTCGTTTCCCATTTACTTGGCTATTTCTACGTAGACTATATATCGTACAGGCCCTTCCACTGATGATATATACATACAGATATCAGTTTATTCACTAAGAGAGTCTTAAGAGATATTTCGGGTCGAAAGCTTCTGGTATCTCCCCTTTTAGGATCAATATCTTATATATTAATTATATATTTGCATCACTGATTATTATATATTTTACTTTTTTTTTTTTTTTTGGTATTAAGGTGAGGCCTTGCTCATATCTTTATTGATTAATTTATATAAATAATTACATATCAACTATATAAAGACTTAATTTGTATAATAACAAATAAATATAAATTATATGCAAGAATAAAAGCTCAGACTAAAAGCTTAACCTAAAAGCTAAACTAATTATCTGTGACCTAAACCTACTAGAGTGGTCAAGACTCACCTAGGTTTGAATTGTTAGGATTTGGTTAATAGGTGTATTTTACATATTTTACTTATTGTTCATGCAAACATTATTTTAATAACTTTTAATCAATTTCATATAACCCGAATCACGCCATTCATGCAAACCCGATCACAATACTCTAACCCTTGTGCTATGAATTACCAGGGCACACTATTACAACATAATAAAGAATTCTGTACAGAATTAACGTAGTTTCTACTATTAATAAAAAAAAACTGTTACAAAACTTACTCGTTTTTCCAGTGACCAGAGTAAGTGATTAGTTAATATCAAGTTAATTATTGTTATTTCTACTATGGTTTACTGTAAAAAATTCTGTTAATAGAGCTTATTCTCTAATGCGATACGTACAATGGTTTAGGCCAAGTCAGTATTGAATTGTTGTGATTTTATTGTGTTATTGTAAAAATATTCTGTTACGGACTCGCAATTCCGAAGACCATAAGTTTGTTGCATTGAAATTATCTATTATAAAGAATTATGTCACAGAACTTGCTTGTTAATGAAAAATATAATGGTTAAGATTGAGTTAGTATTAAAATTATCATGATTTTTACATAAAGAAATTCTATTACAGAACTTGCTATTCCGATGACCATAGTATTGGTTAAGGTTGAATTATTTGCATTGAAACTAATAAATTTCTACTACATATTACTATAAAAAATTATGTTATAGAACTTATCTCTAATAGGTAAATTTAGTTTTTGGATGCCCTAAAAATTTTAAGCTTACTTTAGATGTCCTAAATTTCTAAAATATATTCTGAATTTCAAAAATAAATACAGTATTAACTAAAATTCAATTTTTTTGATTTTGGATATGACTAATATAAAGCAACAATTTTCAGAGCAGTTGTCCAAAAATCTTAAAGTCCTAAAATGCCATTTTTGCCAACCTTACTAATGGGTATATATAATCGTGTTAGTATTAGAATTATCATGATTTTTATTATAAGTTCTGTAAAAATTCTGTTACAAAACTTACTCGCTGTTTTGTCGCCACATTAAGTGGATCGAGTTTGTTATAGTTTTCGTGATTTCTATTATAAATTACTGTATAAACTATTATAAAACTTGCTCATTAATGCAGTGTGCACAGTGGTTGATTTATATAGATTATTGCAAAATATTTGAGTTAATATCAAAGTTATTGTGATTTCTACTACTGTATACGTTACTATAAATTCTGTTACAAAACTTACTTGTAGTTAAGGTAGAATTGGTTGGTTTGGAATTATCATAATATCTATTATAGTGCACTATAATAAGAATTAGCTACTGAATTATTGTAATTACTATTGTGGTAACCATTGTATGTAGTTAAAGAAAGTTTGGTTGCATTGGAATTATCATGATTTTTATCATGATTTACTGTAAAAAATTTGGTACAGAATTTACTGCTAATGCAATATATACAATTGTTGAGTTAGTATTGGAATTATCATGATCTTTACATAAAAAATTCTGCTACAAAACTTACTTGCTATTTCGCTGATTATAATATGTGGTTAAAGTTGAATTGGTTGTATTGGAATTAATAATTTTTACTATGAGTTACTGCAAAAATTCAGTTTTAGAACTTATCGCTAATGCACTATACATAGTAGTATTAGAATTGTCGTGATTTCTATTATAAAAAATTCTCTTATAGAATTTGCTGTTCCGTTACTGCAGCAAGTGGTTTATGCATGTGGCCAAAGTGGTTTGGTCATCTCGGCCACTTAGCAAATGTTCAAAGCAAAGTTGTTAATAATTTTTAAATGTGATAGAAATTAGGCTTCATATATATTAAACCAGATCCACATAACATTATTCAAGCCCTTTTGGTGTTTCAGCAAAACTTTGGTATTTCGACAGACTCTAGAATTTCGGAAATGTACAGCTAAAACTTCCAGAGTCTGCCGAAATACCAAATGGGTTTGCATGAGGTTTTTCGGATCTGGCTTAACATATATGAAGCCTAATTTCTATTGCATTTACAAATTATTGATAACTTTGCTTTGAACATTTACCAAGTGACCGAAATGGCTGAAACATTTCGGCCACACGTATAATGTGGTTAAGATCAAGTAAAATAATTTTGTTATAAAACTTACTCGCTAATGTAATATACATAATGGTTAAGAATGAGCTAGTATTGAAATTCTATACTCAAGTTACTGTAATAAATGTATTGTTTAAGTTTGTATTGTATAAACTTAATAAAATCTAAATTAAAGTTATTACTTTTTATAAATTAATCTTTAAATAATTTTGCTACTAAAATATTCTTTTGAAGATGATTCTAACAAATACAAAATCATTTAAATTGAATCACAGGATTATATTGACTCTCTATGTGGGACTCATGGGTTTGACAATAACAAACCCATGAGTCCCACATAGAGGGTGCGTTATTATTTGATAGTAGGTACAATTAATTCTGTAATTCAATTTAAATGGTTTTGTACTTGTTAGAATCATCTTCAAGAGAAGAATATTTTAGTAGCAAAATTATTTTAAATAGATTAATTTGTAAAAAGTTATTTGATTTTAAAATTTAAAAAATAAACCCTAATTAAAATTCCACAAATCAGCCGATATATTTTTAGAATGTATTAAAATATAGTATAGTTTTTGAAGACAACTTTATGTATTAGTACCAAAATATAGTTTTATTCATAATACAGGATGATTGATAAATACAATGCATATACAAACAAAGAATATTATTTTGTTCGCAAAATACAGAAATATATTGTTGCAAATTATCTATTTGTAAATGAATATGTATATTAATTATGTCTAAATCCGATTAAATTTTTTTTTTTTTTAAAAAAAATACAATCTTCAAATTAAAAATATACATAATATAAAAAAAAAGTTTATGAAAGTGTGGATTCGATAATAACATGGGTTACGCTGTAAGGATCGATATTAGAAGCTGGTCTACGATCTTCCAAATAACCTTTTCCTTCAGCGGCACAATGTCTTGGAATGCGAATTGAAGCTCCACGATTAGCAACGCCAAAGGAAAATTGTGATATATGGCCAGTTTCATGACGACCCGTTAGACGTTGGTCGTTGTCTTCACCGTATACAGCGATATGTTCGGCATGTCTTTTGGACATCTTTTCTATAGCATCATAAATTGCTTTAATACCGCCTTCTTCACGCATTGCCTGCGTTGAGTAATTGGTATGACAACCTGCACCGTTCCAATCACCTTTAATTGGTTTAGGATGGAAGGAAACTACGACACCAAAATCTTCAGCTACGCGATGTAACAAATATCGAGCTAACCATAGATGGTCACCCATATCAATACCTTCGCAGGGACCGACTTGGAATTCCCATTGACCTAAGAAACAAATAATTAAACAATAAATTAGATAAATTCTTACTGTACACTAATAGTTATATACTGTAAAGTATAATAATTATAATTACCAGGCATAACTTCAGCATTGACACCAGAAATTTTAACACCAGCATAAAGACAAGCACGATAATGAGCCTCAACAATATCACGTCCAAAAGATACACTAGCACCAATAGAACAATAGTAAGGGCCTTGGGGACCAGGGAAACCACCTTTGGGCCAGCCAAGAACCTGACCATCTAAATCAAAAAGAGTGTATTCTTGTTCAATACCAAACCAAGGATGAGATTCGGCATGAGTTTCCATGATTTTGGAACAAAGGTGACGATGATTAGTTTTATTCGGAGTTCCATCGTTATTGTAACACTCAGCGAGGACAATGATGTTATCGCCTCCTCTGAAGGGATCCTTAAATATTGCAGCCGGACGAAGTAAAACATCAGAATTATCACCAGGAGCTTGATTGGTGGAAGAACCGTCAAAATTCCATTCTTTCAATTCAGAAACATCATTGGGCTTAAAATCGAGAGTAGTTGTTTTTGAGCGGAGGCCATTATTGCCATCAATCCAAACGTATTCGGCTTGAACTTTACCATTCTGATCAAGTTGAAGGTATTTAGCGAGAGTTTTAGTGTTAGATTTGTTGGTTAAAGACATTTTATTTCTTCAGATTATACTAAAGCAATTTAACAAGTTGGAATATTAGACCGATTTAAAAAATGGGTTGATATCAAAAAAGATTAAGGATAATGGGAAGGTTTTTATACAAATTATGCGTTACATTTCATCGATTAATCTTGATAGTTCTCGAGTTTAATTAATGATGGAAACATATGATGACGATAATCAATAGATGTGATTGTTCTTTAAGTATTCTCCAAATTCTATAATCAGATTTCGGCTATAAACGGCATCTAGATATACTTGTAAGACAAAACGTTATCGTTGTTGTTTATAGTAAATCTAACTTAATCATGTGTATAGTGATGTATTTGTTTACTACATATATACTTGATAAGGATAAGAATCTTTGTTTCGTATCTAAAGTTATTGCCATGAGGCATAGATTGTTTAATTCCTTATTTGGTATGCTCTGCATCATCTGTATAAGTTAATGATTATAAGTAATAAATCATAAGATCAACTTTTTAAATCTAATTTTATTCATGCCTAAATTCAGATTTTTTAACAAAGACCCTCTAATCAATCAAATATTATAATAATTTGACCGTAAAAGATGCACCAATCGGAATCGATAACATTTTTATACCACAGCACTGCAGCGTCGGCCTATAACCTCTTATGGCATATTGACTTATCGTGTGACCACTTTGGTCACATAAAGTGACCACCTTTGTCACATGAACTTGGGTATGTTCTAAAAATGGCCAGCACTGATATCACAGATTGGATCAAAAGATTGTAATAAAAATACCCGAGATCTTTGATATGATGATCGAGTAATTGTTTTTTTTGATATGCAGCAAAGTTTAGCGGTCCCGTGATTGCACCGGTAGGATCAAAAAAAACCCACTTATTGTCATTAATAAAAAGTCTTCACCAAAATTCAGATATACCATTCCTATTTTGTATTAATTATTAATGTTTAGACAGATAAACATGGAACTCTGATCTTGGGCAGGGAAATTTTTCGAAAGAAATTGAATTTTATCGAAAGTCACATGAAAGTGATGCTATTGGCCAAATGTTACCCACGTGATTATCATCACCAAAAATTTGCATAACACTTTCGAATTTTTCTTAAGCAATTTTACTATATATGTTGTACGTCGAAATAGAATCTTGGTAGACTTAGAATCAACATAAGTTGATTCTAAATACACTTAAGTTGAACCGAAATTTTAAATCTACTCAAATCGTTAACTAAAAGTTCAACTTAGCGCATATTCAATTTTAAGATTAAAAGCATTTAATTCAATATTTCTTAAAGCTGAATGTTTTTGATCAATGGTCTTTAGCAATTCAAATACTGTAGTTGTATTTGATGGATCTTGAAGGACATAATACAAAAATCATAATCTTCTCATGTACTGTAATAAAATAAGGTTTTACGACATCAATTAACAGTTAACAAATTTGCCACCGAAAAATTTAATAAGCTTTTCGAATATTTTTGTAGTTCGGTCATTTTTAAAATTTACAGTATAGAACGATTTGACGAATTTCAATTTCGTTTTTTTTATTAATTTGATAATGATTAAATTATTAAATTTAAAGAAGTACTAATTTTCCCACCACCTCTGATTGGTTCTACTAATTATTCACATATCTGAGTATCTGTGCTATTAATCTCAATTTTATAATACTTTGGATTTTATGATTTTTTTTAAAAAAAGTTTATAATCATATATTTCTTTTATTGAATTATCAGAGGGTAAATATAAGCTGATGGTGAAGTGGTGGGGAAAATTAGTTAAACCCTTAATAAGTGGAATTTGAATTCCCGAGTCAGTTTGGAATTCCGTTACAACACAGGCTGATTTCGGAATTCACAAAAATTCGATGTTAATCTTACAGTGCAGTATGATAAACTAATTTTAAAGAATTTGGCTAAGTGAATCTTTAAATAGATCAAATAAAAGGAGTAAGCTAATTTTTTTTGAAATATTGATTTCTTTGAATGTTTAATATTAGATTTCAAAATTAAAATTAAATTTTCCGGTTTATAATTCAACATAGCAAAAATACTATTTGAAAAATCCTGATTTATAAAATGCACAATTTTTTGTTAATTTTGAAACTCCCATTATAATCATTAGCGTTAGGGGGTTCAAATCATTAACAAATAAGTGACACTATTTCAGAAAAATAAATAAAATTCTATGATTTAATTTTTTCTTAAATGTCGCATATGAGTGTCGCCAAAAGAAAACCCGATAATTTAAATATAGACTATATTTAAATTGTCGGGTTTTCTTTTGATTTTTGGACATAGGTTATATTAGTCATATTAAATGCTATCCCTTTTGACACCAAATTCGTACATTGGAACATTTAAATTCATACATTGGAACATTTAAATTTGTATATCTGAACATTTAAATTTGTACATTGGAACTTTCAAATTCATACAAAAGGACAATTTAATTCAGATTAATTAAAGCACAATATCTTGTGATCTAGTAATCCAATTTTGATGCTTTTAGTACCATTCGAATCCTCTTACTGAGGCGATTCTAATGGTACTAATATCATCAAAATTAGATTTCTAGATCACAAGATATTGCACTTTAATTAATCTAAATTAAATTGCCTCAATGTATGAATTTAAATGTCCCAATGTATGAATTTAAATGTCCTGATATATGAATTTAAATATCCCAATATACGAATTTAAATGTCTCAATGTACGAATTTGGTGTCAAAAGGAATATTAATTAAAAAAAAATTTTTATGATTTTTACTATTTTAAAAGGTCATGAAGTCATAACCGTAATGACTAAATGACCTATGACTGGTCATAAGGTCATTTAAGGTTGTTAGTCAACAAAATATAGTTCTACAATAGTAATTAACACAAGATACTATATAATAATAATTATTTAAAACCAGTGTTATCACTTGGCCGGCTAATATTAGGCCAAAGTTTGGCTATTGGTCAATTGGCTGGCCAAAGGTCGTTTGGCCGCAAAAAATTGCCAACACTGTTCTAAATATAACATTATTATTATATTAAGATAATGTTTTAAGGATAAATAAGAATGGCGTTATAATTAGAGTTAGCGTTAGGGCGAAAAAACTTTTATCGTAAATATTGTTAAGCCGTAGAAAAACTCGATTTTTATGTTACACGATCTTTTATTGGTTAAAATTACAAGGGCCCAATTTTTTGTAGGGTTTAGCGTTAGAATTGTCCTCTCTCTAGCTTTGTAGTTGGTTAACTGTCTTCAGTAAATAGTAATTGTGATATTTTGATTTCTCTGTATAGTAAATATTTAGCTTTCTTACGGAGCGAAAAATAATCTTTTATATCTTGTTAGTGAAACGTTACGTTCTCAAAAAGTACTTTAAAGTGTATAATGTACGTATGTACTAAGTTGCCTTAGGAATAGGATGTTTTCTCGTATTTCAAAACCGCCTTTTTATTCTACTGCATCCTTTTTAATATCTAAATCTTTCAAACAAAAAAATTTAACTAGCGTTAAGTTAAAACCAGTTTCTCATACAATTTTACATTCACCTTTCTCCAGTCATCATGAACAAAAATTAAAAGGCTGGCGAAAATATGCATCTCAATTTCGTTCAAAACCCGCATCTTACGTAATTTCATTTGCTGTTTTACATGAATTGACAGCAATAGTACCAATCCCAATTATTTATATTTTCCTTTCAGCTACTGGCATTGAAATACCTTTTCCGCAACAAGTTTTAGACGAAGGAAATAAATTTATTAATAAAGTTGTAGTTTATTATGGGTACTCACCTTTTGAAGATGGGAGTAGAAAGCTTTTGAATCTTGCCACAAGTTATGCAATTGTTAAGGTATGATTTTTTATGTGACGCACTTTCAATACTGTACAGTTATTAATAAATCACGCACGTAAAAACTTTGATAATATTTAAAGGCATTAATGCCTGTTCGTATTGCGGCTTGTGTAATGATGACTCCTTGGACGGCAGAAAAGGTTGTAGGGCCTATTACTGGCGTATTCAAGCGCATTGTTGGCAGAAAATGAAAACATCGTAGCTTTCGGTAAATAGTACTCGGTGTGACAAATAGAGTAGATCAATTTTTAAAACATCAATTAAAATTTATCAGCCAGATTAAGTTTTTACTGGGCTGGCCGGTTTAGTTGGTTTTCTAATTGAGCCTCAGTACGTACGGTAGTTTGAATCGCTATCAAATGCCCTCCCAAATTCGAACGTCATTTGTTCCACTACCAGCAAACTTATTACTAAATTTCTGTCACGCCCGTATTAATGTTATTTGGTTGTATATTTCCCAATCCCATTTTCGAAATGGCCTTCATAAAATAAGATAAGTTACAATTGATCAGCAGATCTTTAAAAAAATCGACTGATTAATTATTATGTAGGATCACTATGTACAAAGTATTTTACATCAATTTCTACCATTTTAATACCAAGAGATAACCATTCACCCAATAATATCCAATTTCTCTTGTAATCTTATTTAAAGAATTATTATAAGGTTGATACCGGTTAAGACAATTATTTACAGATTTGTTAATATATTCAGTAGGGTGATGACTTTTGAAACAAATCCTTAACATTTTCGCGAACAGTTTCATCTAGAGTCTCGTAAATCTCCTTACAACCTAACGCAGCTAGGTTCATCACTGGCTCCAATTTATCAACATGAAGACGCGAATCCATCTTTGCAAATAACGTATGAAACGATTAGTTGTGGATATATAGCTAAAAGTAAATTATATTCTTGAATTACCTGAAGAAGTGTGAACTTTCCAGACTTAGGTAATAAAGCAACTGTTAATTCAGGAGTATCGGCCATTTCTTCAGTATTGTTGAGGTCTAAAGACGATTTTACATTAAGTATACCATATAACCTATATGTATATAACAAACTTTAACCTACCCAACAATATATGATTTTCATGACATCCTGCCGAACAAGCGCAAACATATTCCTGCATTGGTATACCTGCATCGATCAAAGCTAATGTAGCGGCATTAATACAGATTTGAATAGTACCTAACGAAATAATATAATTATATATTAATTGTCCAATAATGCATTATTTGAGACGAGAAATTTAACAAAAATGCGTACCTCCGTCAAATTGCAATATTTGCAAATAGATATCGATCTGGGATCTGGCAAACAAGCTAGTCATTATAATTGGTTCAAAGGTTTGTTTAACTGCAGATGCGATTTCTAATAGTCGCCTATGTTGGAAAATAAAATTAAAATAAATAAATAAAAAATAAAATAAAAAAATTGGTTATCAACGAAAGCTAATACCTGTCTGATTTCGATCTCTTTTTCCGCTCCTGCGGCATACTAAAAGGAGCCAAGCTAATTTCAACATTGATATTAGCTTTATTATGTATTACTTGAGCCTTTTGCCTGGTCTATTGAAAATTAATGTATTAGCGTTTGTGTATTAATACCTTTTCTCGAAATGAACCCACAAAAATACCTCTCTTGGTCCATAAACAGCAGCCAAGCATTTTGTATTTCCTTGTTCGATATAAGCTGATCCATCAGCTTGACTTAACACAGAAGGCTTACACTTAATTTTTCTTAATTCATTGGCACGACGACCATCTTGCCGTAATCCTATAGTCAAAAAAAAATCAATTTACAAAATAGTTGATCACGAAAGAACTAAAAAAAAAAATAACTCGACCTTGAGGTCCTATTAGCTCTTGTCGCGACTTTTTTATAGTTGGATAAGTTTTAATAAAATATGAACACGCGTTTTTTGATATTTAAAGAACTTACGTACCATTAAAGAGATTAAGGTTAATAAAACCGTGATTATGCGATATGTATCAGCAATCTAAATGCCCAATCAATGTTAGCGCTAATTGGTACGCTCATAACTATATTTAGCATGGAATCGATTCGTAAATATACTTAATTAAAATTACCTTTTCCCAAACACCAAATTATGTCCGTCGACCTACGTAGGTTTGTTGAACGGCTGGTTACCGTATATACCGCACCAAATGACTTTCAGGAAAGTCGCTTTTTTGCTCATCCTTAAATCCAACATCCCAGTTGGCGTGGAATTATGGCTTCAGTATAAAAAACGTACTGCTACCGATTTATCCCCATATGACGAGAAAGCAGTTAAAGAACAATGGGATAAGTCTCCAACTTCCTCTTGTGGTATGGATGCATTTATCACGTTATTAAATCCAACTTCATATAATACTGTTTTATTTGAATGCCTCGCTGAGGTTGTTACGCCTTCCCGAGAGTTGGTTGTTCGATGGATGGCGCCTTATCTTCGTCGTTTCAGCAAATATATTCCCTCACAAAATATGTGGCTTTGTGATCAACGTCGCATGGGTCCAGAATATATGAACAGGGACGTTGGAGAGATGTATCTCAGGCAAGGGATTTGTGAATGTGTTGATGTTTTGAGGCAATTCAATGGGCGAGAAGAAGTTATTAATGTCGCACTTCAAGTTTTAGAAGGGGTTGAGATGCCTATGTATTTGAAGGTCATGCTAAGAGGAATTTCAGATGAGGAATTTCCGTGGTAGAATCTAGAACTTTTATAGTTTACGTTCTATTTCTACGATTCCGCTAGGGTTGCGACCAACTCTTTTTTGATTTACGATATTACTACTACGTAATTTGGGTTTGGAAATCGGCATTTCGGACCATAACCCAACCCAAAATATGTGTCCCATTTTCGATCGGTGGTGTCAAACTCAAACCAATTAAATTTATCAAATTTGTATTAACAGATACAACATATATATATACATTCAATCATGTTATATTAAAAAATTTTACACGAGTAAATATTAGTCCGGTTCAAGAGTTGGCAATATTTTAGAAAATCGAAGTTAGATTAAATTAGATTTAATCGATATCAAACAATTAACTAGCATTAAAATCTTATTTGTGCATTGCGAGAATTCATAAACCAAGTTATTAATAAAGATAACCGAATCTTTGGATTTGCATTATGTACTTTATAAAATAAGACTATATAATTGAATAATATATGTATTCGAATCAGAATACATATAGATTAGTAATTTTGGCAGGATATGCTAATTTAAAACAGTATCGGTTAGAATTAAAGTGGCAAAAATTTTATTAATGAAATTAGTTAAAATTGGCGTTAGGGTTTCTCAATTCCAAATCAAATATTTTACCAATTCAGAATTTGTTAAATTTTAATTATAGTATCTGGTATATAGTTTTTTATAAACTAAATTATTTAAATTTGTCTTCAAAGTAATCTTTTAAATTTTTAATCTTCGATTCTTTTATACAGCAAAATTAATGTTATAATATCATTTTTTATTGAAAACTCTACGTATAAGTTACCGGGCAATTAGGTAATACGACGTTAGCCAATCATCCGAATGTCTTTCTATGGCCAATCATATCAATCATAGAAATGTACTATAAGACCATTTCTTTCTTCGAAAGTCGTAATATTCTTAGAGTCGAAAAATTTTTATAATTGATAAGTATGTGATTTTTTTATGAGTTTCTAAGCTTAATAATGATAATAGTGGTTTACATTTTAATTCTTTTTCGCAGTGAGTGTATTAATCGAAACTTCAGTTGGTGATCTTGTTATCGATCTTCATACCAAAAAGTGCCCACGAACATGCTTAAATTTTCTGAAACTATGCAAAATCAAATATTACAATTTCTGCTGTTTCCATAATGTCCAGAAAAATTTTATGGTGCAAACTGGAGATCCAACAGCAACTGGTCAGGGAGGTGAATCAATATACGGGATTTTACATGGTCCGACGCGAAAGTATTTTCCAGCAGAAATTCATCCCAAACTAAAACATAAAAAAATTGGAACAGTATCAATGGCTGTTGCCAGTGATGGAACCGAAAATGGAAATGTTAGTGGATCACAATTTTTTATTACAACAGCTGAAAAGTTAGATTATCTGGATGGGAAGTACACAATTTTTGGAGAGGTTGCAGAAGGATTTGATACCCTCGAAAAAATCAACTCTACTTATTGTGATGATACTGGAAGACCTTATAAAGACATTAGAATCAAACACACTACCATACTTGATGACCCGTTTCCTGATCCTGAAGGTTTAATGATACCAGATCGGAGTCCACAACCAACCAAGGAAATGTTAGCTACTATAAGAATTGGAGAAGACGAAAATATTGAACCTGAACTTCCGCCTGAGACAATGGAGAAACTTCAACGACAAATGGAAGCTCAAGCTCAAGCTTTAACATTGGAAATGATTGGAGATATACCATTCGCAGAAGTTAAGCCCCCAGAAAATGTTTTATTCGTATGTAAACTAAACCCAGTTACTAGAGATGAAGATTTAGAATTAATTTTTTCAAGATTTGGAACTATTAGCAGTTGTGAAATTATTCGTGATAAGAAAACAGGAGATTCTCTTTGTTACGCTTTCATTGAGTTTGATAACAAAGAGGATTGTGAAACGGCCTATTTCAAAATGAACAATGTTCTAATAGATGATCGACGCATAAAGGTTGATTTCTCACAATCAGTATCCAAACTTCACAAAGATTGGCTCGCTTCAAAGATTAAAAAAGCGAGAGGAGGTGGATACGGTGGATCTGAAAGCTTAGAGAAAAAGACAAGATATCGTGGGGGGGATGACACACCGGCTGATAAGTATGATCTTGTTTTTGATCATGTAGACAATTATGAAAATGAGAAACAAAGGTTCAGTAAAGGAGATAAGGATGGAGATAGGGATAGGGATAAGCTTTCGGTTCGTGAAAAGGAAAAAGAAAAAGACAAGAAAAAATACAGGCATGGAGATGGTGCACGAAGACGTGACAGCGATTATTATGCGAGAAGTGCACCACGAAAAAGGTCTAGATCTAGATCATATAGTCCTCCTCGTCGATACAAGAGTAAACGTTAAGGTTACGACCTAAACCTTTTTTTGACTTAAGACATTACTACGTAATTTGGGTTTGGGAATCAGGATTTGGGATCATAACCCAAACTCAAGTATGTGTCCCATTTTCGATCAGTAATGTAAACTCAGAATCAATTAAATTTATTAAATTTGTAATAATAGATACAACATACATGCATTCAATAATGTCATTATTAAGGTATTAAATGTTGGTTCAGTCCAAGGGTTGAATATATATCAAACAATTAAATACGGTTTAGCTAAATTAACATTTGTACAATTAATAATTTCTCAAGTTGAAACTAGACTTTGAGCAAGGCTACCATATTTAGTAAGGAATTTACTTGATTCCATGGCATTAAAATTCATGGGCTTTAAATTGATAGCTTGATTATTTCAAAATAGCAAAGTCAGGACGCAAGCATTTGGCAGCCTCGTGATTACTGCTTAACAAGATTGTAAGATCATTGTGTAAGAAAAGAAATAAATCTTAAGTTTGTTATGGCAACTAGCTTTTAGTTATTTAGCGTAAAAATTTAGATATACTTTTATTCCATATTTTATTATTAACAAGAAATCAACGTTTAAATAAATGATTAGGTTAACAACGTTGTGGATCGATGATCCACTATTTCAAGTTCATATTAAATTAAACATTACGATCAATCAAGTTGAGTTAGACCGACAGCCCATTGAATTGCCATTTATTTCGGTCTGCAAAATTATGTGAAATTTGCATATCAAAAAAAAAGAAATCGATGATTCCTGATTTCCGATTTCTTTAACGTTACTTCTGATTAGCGATTGGGTAACCGGTTACCGTAAATTCTCGAAATAACGCCAGGGATAAAATTACGAAATTTGGCCTAAATTAAGCCTAATTCGGGCCAAAACTCAAAATAACGCCCATGCCCGCTATTTTGAGAATTTACGGTAAGTAAAGTTCTTCAGCTGTTTTCATAAATTCTGAAAAAATTGACGATGACCGAATCGACAAGTTACCGAGTCGGGATCAATAAGTAACCGACTCGGCCAAACTCGGAAACTTATCGATTCGATCATCGGCATTTTATCAGTTCCAGAATTATGAAAACAGCTGTAATCAGTTAACCTGGTACAGCCGGTTGACTAATTATTAAAAACAAGATTAATACGTATGATAGACAAGGAAAAGCAGAACTTTATTTTGATTTACAGTTTGGTTATCTGTTTAAAACTCATATTTTTTGTGCAATTTGAATAATGTGAATAACTATGTCATTATGAACATAAGGCGGTTGAATATTTCAAAAGCTGCTAATTTAAAATTTTTGACATGTTAAATGGCATAATTCAAATACCACTCAACCTGCTATTCAACATGTCGAAAATTTCGACCATGTTTGATTCGATTTGGTTAACCCGGTATTTTTTTTAGGTCCGGTTGACACGGCTAAACTGGGTCAACCGTGTTAACCGAAATAATTCCGGTTAATCCGATTAGAATCGGTTGAGACGGTTTGGTTAACCGATTACAGCTGTTTTCATAAATTTTGGGACATCTGGTAAAGAAATTGACCGAATGCTTGGCCAATTCTATAAGTTTATGATTTTGACATTTTCAAAGCATGTTCGTTATTGTTTCAGATAAGTTGGATGCTATATAAATTTAGTTGCCATTACTTCAGATAAGTTGGATATTTCAGATTCAACTGTAGTTACTACAGATTTACTATAGACGAACAAGCTGAAGGCTCCTTAGTTGTTAGATCAACCGTTTCAATAATTTCATCTGATTCGTTCTACAGTATTTTTATAATAATCGTTATAACCTAAATAAAATAACACATAAATTTTTGCTTTAATTTTGTTGATTATAATTCTCATTGCAGCTGCGATAATTACTAATAAAATCTTGGCTGTTGGAAATTTCCTAATCAAGGCAATAAATTTTGTTCAGACTTTTTTTTTTTTTAATATATTTATTATGATTATCCGGAACCTTTAAGAACAATTATCGCCATAAATTTTCGTATAGGCCAAACACACCAAACATACATACTGGACATGCATTCAAGCGAAAACTTTTAATTTTAAATGTGTTGACATTGTAGTTCAGAGTATTATCGTTATATTTATACTATCATGTCCAAATCACTGCCGAATCAAAACTTATCGAAACGGCCAAATATCATTCAGACAATTTTTCCCAAAATTTACGAAAACAGCTGTAATGATTTGGTACTCGGTTCAAATCACTAATCGTAAGTACGCGTTTTGGGCATTCCCAATTTTTGTTGGAAAATGTGTCTTGTTTTATCACGTGTAGACGTAATCAATTTATTATTAACAGCATCAGGATGTAGAAGAAACATTTGTCCGTTTTAAATTGTTTATAACTTATAAAGGTGGCTTTTATGTAAGGGTTCGGCTACATTAAGATAAGTATCTTAAAAATTCTTTCACTGCCCTTCTACGAGGGCCTTGCAGAATTGCTCGCCTTCACACTATCCCTACGCTTTGGACTTGGAAAACCTCCCCAAAGTTTATGATTTGTGTTTTTACTCTTGGGAGGTGTATCGTAGGAGAGATGGGTCTTGCAGAAATGCTCACCTTTTATACATCTCTACGCTTTGGACTTGGGACTTCTCCGAAGTTTATGACCTGTGTTTTCATTCTCAGGTGTATCATCGCGCAGTGATAAACTGCTTATAAAAAAGAGCTAACTACAATAATTTATTTTTGAATGTGATTTTTTAATGTTAAAACATATACTTTTTTTCAGAAAAACAACACGTTCAACTACCCATACCGTATGTACAAATAAAAGCAATTTTTATTGATCGATTACTAATGAGTAAGGCTGCAGATGCTAGGTTACCGACCGTAAGTAATAATTACGGACATTACGAATTACAACTTATATCAAAAGTTGTGATATGTCGTAACGGTTGTAATTGTCATAATGCTGTAATGGTTGTAATTGCTGTAATAGATTGTAATTGCCGTAGCAAATATAAGTGTTCGATATAATTATGATAATAACAATTGAATTATTACAGCTGTTTTCATAAATTCTAGGACACCTAAAAATTTTCTCGTTTCCCGGAATCTTTTCGGGTTCGTCCGGTAAATTACCTAACTCTCCGGAAAATACATCGCTGTCTCCGGACTGAAGGTTCGAAAATAGCGATGTAGTTTCCAGAGAGCTAGGTAATTTACTGGACGAAACCGAAAAGTTTCCGGGAAATGAGAAAATTTTTAGATGCCCCAGAATTTATGAAAACAAGTGCAAATCAAAATTATATTTATATAAGGGAAGGATGAACCTTGATTATAAATAGAATTTGAGATTTCTTATTAATCTTGAACCGATTTGTGAGTATAATACGTTAACATCACTTATATTTGCAGATTTTTGATAACGTGTACATGCTCTATGTTCATTAATTCTTTCACTCTAATTTTATCTTGACAATAATTACTAAGGGTAATAATTCTATAGTGCATCACCCACACCTGCAAATTTTTGAAAAATAAAGTAATGCATTATGTTTATACCGTAAATTCTCGAAATAGCGGGCAGGGGCGTTATTTCGAAAATCGCGCCCTTAAAAATAGCATAGATGGCTTCGATATAACGCCCATGCGCGTCCTGAAATAGTGCGCACCTCGAAGAGCAAGTATCGTGTAAATATTGAAATACAAAACTCTCGATATGCACCTGATTTACCGCTAATATAGCATATCAGAAGTTTTGTATCCGATATTTACTTGATACTTATTCATTCGACCTGTTTATAACATTAGCAACAATCAGATTCCAGAATTAATACTTTATGTCGAAATAACGCCCATGGGTATATTCGAACTAACACGCACATAATCAAAATAGCGCGCAGATGTTCGCTATTTCGAGAATTTACGATACCTTTAATTTCAACTTCTCTTTTATAGCATACACTAATGCTAATATTCCCTCAGCATTACTAATCTTTGAGATTAAATCAATGCATTATTATCATAAATAATTTGATAATATTGTAGCTATTATCTGCTTGACTCGATTTAACCAGACTCGTTACATCTATTACAGCCATTACACCTAATACAACCATTATACTCATTATGGCAAAAAATTACAACTTTAGAATAAAGGTTGCAACCTTCCAATTTTATTAAGCCTATTATGACAGGCAACCTTAGATGTCACTACCCAAATTTCATATGATGTGAAGAGGTAGCTACCTTTGACTTTTTTGATGTTTATGTTTATACTAATGAGGGAGGTAGTTGTCATGGAACTTTGAATTTTCTTTTTTAAAGAGCTGTAATTACTAATATTTCTGGACTAACATAAATACTATGGCAGAAGAAAAAGAAGTTAGCATATTACACCCTGAAGAAGTTGAGAAGAAAAGTTCCAGATAAAACAATTACATTAATAAGTATGATTTTGGTTGTGGTAGTTGCATGTTTACAAATAAATCAAATTCTGAATTGCAAACTAATGATTATGTTTTCTTATACAGATTTTTGAGAAATTTATTTGCAAAGAACATAAGTTTTGTTTCTCAGTCTGTAAGAAGATATTGTTTAATGAATGACCAATAATGTAGGTATTAATTTTCTGCCACTGTACAGATATATAATTATTTTTATTTTAGATAAAAAATTAAGATATTATTATAAGTAATTATTAGTACTGTATTGCTATATAATAAAAAAAAAGTTTTTTTATAAGCTTATATATAAATATATTTACTTTTGATTGTTTAAGATGCCTATCTCCTACAAAAACATTAATCAATCAACCTGCCCCATAATGTGGCCTAACACTAATCTAACATAACCCTAACCTTAATATCCTAATTGATAAAAATCAGTAAAATTTTTTGTGGGAGAGCTACCACACTTATTGTTTAATCTCAAATCACGAGACCTACCACAAACCATTATGTAACAGGGTGTAATAAATAAAATTTCTTCTTTTGTTTATTATAAAATTTGTTTTCAAAAATAAATAACCCTTAATAGATTACTACAAAAATATAATATATAATTTGTAAAATATACCGTAGTATAATAATTTATAAATAAAAAATTTTCAATAAATATGTTTGGCTAGACGTTTTTATTAACATAACACAAGTTTAAAGGCATATAAATAATTAATATAATAATAAATTAATTTACGTACGTACTGCATATCAAATATTATTATTAAACAAGTTATTTTTTAAGTACGCTTAAATACTAAAATCAGGTTATACTCCTTTATGTATTTGGGAATTTCGGATTGTATGAAGTTAGTACAGTAGTACATCCAATACCATGGAATTATGGACCACCAGAACATCGTTAGATGACTTAATATCTAAGTGATTTAAGTAATTTTAATCAGTACGTGGTGAAATTAAGGAAAAAAGATTCTATATACTGTATAAAATTTCGTCCTGATCACTTTTAATTAGTACTACAAGGCCAATTTAAGCCCTGTATTTTCTCTTTTTTTCAGTTTCTCCTCTCTTTGCTTTGCGCGCGTGTCGGACTAATTCGAGATAAGGCCATGCAAATTAAATAAGTTGTTTCTCGTTACATAAGACAAACAGATAGGACTCGGCAAAAAATGTTACATTTAAAAAAAAATTTTTTCCATACAAGAACAAAAAAAAAGTTACCCGGCCGGGTAACGAGAAACAAATTTTATTTGTTTACATGGCCTAATTGGCTATCTTCCTTTTTTGGATTTGTATCACTCTCACAATTAACAAATAATTGCACGCAATAACCTGTATTTTATTCTGAATGTTCCCATCCACAATCATAATAATTAGTAACCTTACCGCCAAAATTCGTCATCTGTTCCTTGTCAACAATGATATTTTAGGGGAAATTGCCTTTTCACTTTATAATTTTATGCAATTGCAATAAATAAATTTCTTAGAAGCATTTCCATAAGAACCTGTTTGGAAGATATAAACCGTTTTTTTAATGTTTCACAAATCAGATTTTAACGACCTTAACGGATTCTCACTTCCGCATGTCAATAATGGATGCATATATTGGCGCATTTGTGTCATGAGGTTTCTAACAACGACAATAACGGCTAGTTATCGTTTATTCGGCGTTTCTTTGAAATTCTAACTGGAAAAAAGTTGATATTTAAAGTAAGTATAAACATATAATGCATAATAATTACCTTTTCTATCAAATATCATAATACTATTTATCACTATCGTCAATCTTATTTTGGTAATTCCTTTATAAGTAATATTAATGACCACCTTGTGTGATATGATCGATCACAAAGAAAAAATATAAACGTAAATCTTGAAATTTTTAAGATAAAAAGAATGGATAGGAAAATAAATATATTGAGAAAACAACAATACGCATTATTTGTGTTTCTTTAACTATTTATCTTTTCTAAATTGTAAGAGCACTATTGAATTGTCGAACCGACGGTTCTTATAATAAAATCGAAATTTAAAATTCGGTTTATAGCAATTTATTATGTTCTTTTTTTTAATTTTTTATTCAGAGTCTATAATAAATTTTGAAATTTAAGGTTTAGTACAGTATAAGTGGATTCGGCATGTAGGGGTTGACATAAGGATAGCTATAAATGCAAGCGTATGTTGACAGTTTTACATGTGATTAATTCTTTATAATTTTTTTATGTGATATAGCGCATAGATTCGCTGTACTTACGTACGTACGTGTGTATGTTAAGAGAAATTGTTATAAATATGGCTGAAAAAAAACCCCCAGATTTATACGATAATTGAATTTATTCTAACAAAGAAAAAAAAAATGAATACATCTGATCGCAATCAACTTGAAATAATCCTTCCTTCACGACCACTTTTTCCACCTCCAATTACTCAAGATCAGTTAGTAACCTATAAATCTCGTATTAAAGGCAAACATTCTAGTAGATTACCAACAGCATTTATTATTTACAAAACAGCTTATCGACAACAACTTATTGCTGATAATAACCTTCCGCCTATGCATTTATTTTCATCTATGGCAAGCATTTCTTATGAAAGAGAGCCTATACATGTTAAAACAGCATACGTGAATCTTTCTTTACAATTACGTTCTGAAGGATAATTAGAACGCGTTCACTGTAAATATGGTAAATGCAGATCCTTGCTTGAGTGTTTGCGTAATTTTAGCATATATGATATTTGGTATTAAGCTACTACGGTGTATGTTGATTTTTAATATTAATATTAAGTGCACATTATTTTTGACAGTCAATTGATAGTCAATTGATAGCAAATTGATGGTCGATTGATGATCAGTTAGAGAATATTTATCATTTACGTAATTTACGTAGTTAAGAACATTTTATGTTTCATTATTATCATAATAAGTTATTATAAAGCCTCTTAGGTCAAAAAAACAAATTAGAATTATATTTTTGTTAATTTCTATAGATCATTTTTTTAAGATTAATCATAGTGTTTATTTCACCCTTTAATAAAATATGAAACGCGTTGAGAGCAGTGTTATAAATTCAAAAAATTTTTATTGGCGCAAA